AGACATAAAGACAACATTCCCAAGTTTCTTCCACCTGGATGGTGTGAATATGTTTCTTCTCCTATTCACCTTTCAGGACTATAGAGACGATGCTTTGTGTGGGCATCATCCTCAGAGAAGGTGCTAGAAAATGTTTCTAAATGGATGATTTCTTATCAGCCACTGGAGCATGACCTCTCAAACAACAGAGTGCATCAGAATCAACAAGGAAGCATGTTTATTTTGACTCCCAAACCTCTCGCAGGCTTAAGAACCTCGAGTTTGGACAAGCCCCTCCAGCTGATCCTGACTTAGTACTTCAAGAAGCACTGGTGGCCGAGTGGTTAGGAGCTGCACTGCCAACCCAAAGGCACACAGTTTGAATCCTTAAGTTGCTCTGAGGGAGAAGAATGGGCAATCAACCTCTGTGCAATTTACTGCCTCTAAAAACCCGCTGGAGGGTTTGAGTTTGATGTGACTTAACAACAGTCACAAGGAAATCAGAGAGTACTAGACTGGAACAGCAGGGCATGGAGGCAGTGAGAGTGGTAACAACCTAAGAGCAGCAGGGGAAGTGAGGGGGAAGGACAGCCTGAGTGCTGGCTCTAGAGCCTATAACCAGGACTCGACTATTGAGGTCCCCCGCGAGCAGGAGGCAGGGAGTGCAACCAGGGTGCTATTAGAGGCAAGGATGATGAAACCTTATCTCACTCACTCTGGGCATGTTAGGAGGGGTTGGTGCTTGGAAAGACACAGTGCTGGAAAAGCAGAGGATGAGGAAATGAGAGGAAGACCTCATGAGATGATGGGCTGACATAACGACCACAACAATGGACACGTACATGGTAAAGGTTGTGAGAATGGCACAGGATAGAGCAATATGTTGTTCTCAGGGACACTGAATTGTTGCCAACTTGACAGCACCTAACAACAACTCTATGAAGAAGAATGTGGCACCAAGACTCAGCAACAACCTGTGCTATGCAGATCGTGCTTGCTGAAAAGGAGGAGGACCTGAAACACTGAAAGTATTAAAGACTACAGCCTTCAATATGGATTACACCTCGCAGCAAGAAAACAAGAAATTCTCACCACTGGATCAATAAGGCAATATTAGGATATATGGAGAAAAGATTGAAGTTGTCATCGATTTCATCTTACTTGGATCCACAATCAACAACCATGGTATCACCAGTCAGGAAGGAGATCAGGAGACAAATTACACTACCAAGCACGCTACTAGGAACTTCTCCAAATTACTGAGGAGTAATGATGTCAATTTTAAGACTAAGGTGCACCTGATTCAGGCCTATGCATCTGAGAGCTGGACAATGAATAAGGACGACTGAAGAACTCATGGCTTTGAACTGCTGCGCTGGAGAAAAGCAATGAATAATGCTGCACCTAACAGCAACAACTAGCTACTTGCTTTTTTACCTGTTTCCTCTACTGGACAACAAGGATAAAACCAATATTTACCTCCTAAATTACTGAGCCAGGCACAAAAATGAGTTTGCACAGTGCCTCGCACATGATACATAACAGCTCTTATCATTAGGTTGATGTGATTTTTAACTTCAAACAGGCAATTCCCCGAGCCACCCTTCTCCATAAATGCCCCACCAAGAAGTCTCATCTTAAATGGAGCTGAGAGAAAATAAGAATTTTGGGTTTTGGGTTTGTGAGATTTGTGTGTGTGTGTGAAATATACACAGTAAAACTTGAGACTCTGGTACCAGTTACAGTCTTCAGAGTCTGTCATCGTCCTCGTGTTTTCCGGTTCTCATACTTACTATTAAGTCATTCTTGAGTCCTCCCACTCTTTCCCCAACATGTAACCATCATCAGGTCCTACTGAAAAGTCCATTTCCAAAACATATTTCTGGCCCATTCGCTTCTCTCCAGGCTCCCGGTCCAAATGAACCTCTAGCCTGGTCTCATAATTTCCCAGCCTCCATCACTACTCTCCCCTCGCCATCCTATTGATCCATATAGCTGTCAAAGAAATCCTTTTAAAACCTAAATCCGATTATGCCACCCTCCCTCTCTCCATGAAGTCCTCTGAACGAATTTAAATCAGAACCACACACAAACTCCCTCTGCAGGCCTATCCTCCGTGCCCTCAATTTCAGGACCTCCCAGGGCCTTGACAGCTACGGTGCACCCATCTATCAGAGGGTCTGAGAAAACTATTAAAAAGTGGTTTTGGGAAACTGACCATAAATGGAAACGTATCGATCGATCCGCAAGGGGGGAGGATGGAAAAAGGAAAAGTCTAACACACAGTAGATGCTCACTATCTGCCGAACAAGTCAGTGACACACAAGAGCTTGAGGACACTGAGACCCTCAATGTCACGTATGCTCCCTAAATCTGTGGTCCGGGAGCCGCCAACCCATCAGCACAAACAGGCTGTCAGATTACCGACCACGCTCTCCTACTGCGCTCCTCTAGGCCCCAATTGCCGCCCGGGGACGCGGAAGCGGTTCCCACCTGCTGCTTGCTCGCCAGCACTTCCTCGGCGAGTTCTTCCACCTCCACCAGGTAATGCAACACGCGCTCGGCCTCGGGCGAAAGCATGCTGCACCCAAACTCCAGCTAGACTCCTTCCTATCACCTACTACACAGGTCGTGCGAAGGCGCAACTATCCTTGGCTACCTGTGCGCAGGCGCAATAAGAAGAACGACAGTACGCCGGCTTCTACGCACAGACGTCAGCCGGAAGTGGGGGTGGGGCCTAACTTTGAGGGCGTGGTTTGAGCGCCCCCTGCAGGTCCAGAGAGCGCATCTACAGCCCCGCCTTCTGTCTCTTCTATTGTTTCTTTCTTTAATATCGTGATGGAGAAAAGATTGAGATAGTCAACGATTTCATCTTACTTGGACCCACAATCAATACATGTGGTAATAGTAGTCCGGAGACGAGGAGACATATTGCACTGAGAAAGCCTGAAGGCAGGAACCTCTCCAAATTATCGAGAGCAATGATGTCAGTTTGAGGACTAAGGTGTGCCTGATTCAAGCCGTGGTCTTCTCAGTCACTTGCTGTGCATCTGAAAGCTGGACAGTCAATAAAGATGACAGAAGAAGAATTGATGGCTTTGAACAGTGATGTTGGAGAAGAGTGCTGAAGATCCCATGGACTGCCAAAAGAACAAACAGATATGTCTTGGAGAAAGTGCAGCCAAAATGCTCCTTGCCGGCAAAGATTATGAAGCTTCAGCTCACAGGCTTTGGACATGTTGTTAGGAAAGGTTATTCCTTGGGGAGGAACACCATGCTTAGAAAGGTGGATGAGGGGAGCTCTGGTGGCCTAGTGGCAAGAAGCTGCAACTACAATCCCAGAGGTGCACGGTTCGAATCCACCAGATGCTCTGCCGGGGAAGGAGGGGCAATCTCCTCCTGTACTAGTCAGATCTCATTTGACGGTACACGCACACAAAAAATAATAAAATAAAATTAAAAAAAAAGAAAGGTGTATGAATGGTGAAGGAGAGGAAGACCCTCAGCCAGGTGGATTGATACAGCAGCAATGGGCTTGAGTGTGTCAGAGATTGTGAGGACGGCACAGAATAGGACCTATCAGAATAGGTTCAGACCTGTTATTCATAGGGCGACTCAGTAGCATCAAGGAGCAACATCATGAGTTTAAAGACAAAGTTGCACCTGCTCCAAGCCATGGTATTTTCAGTTGCTTCCGATGCATCTGAAAGTTGGACAACAACAACAACATCCACCAGCTCTACTATTATGTCTAACAGTATTCCTCTGAATTGCTAAAGGGTTTTTCTGAGCTGATAGGCAACATCATGATGGAGAAAAGATTGAAGTCGTCAACTATTTCACCTTGCTTGGATTCACAGTCAACACCCTGGGCACCACCAGTTGGGAGTTTAGGAGACATACGGAAGGTCTGCATTGAGAAAATCTGCAGTCAGAGATCTTTCCAAAGTCTTGAAGAACTATGATGTAAGTTAAAGACCAAGGTGTGCCTGACTCAAGACACAGTGTTTCCAATCACATGCTAAGCATCAGAAAGCTGGACAATTAATAAGGATGACAAATCAATGCATTTGAGTTGTGGTGTTGGATAAAAGTGTTAAATATCCCATGGACTGTCAAATAAACAAACAAATAGATATGTCTTAGAGAAAGTACAACCAGAGTGTTCCTTGGAAGCAAAGATAGTGTAGCCTCATCTCACATATTTTGAACATGTTAGGAAAGGCTTTGAAAAGTGGAGGAGGATAAAAAAAAAGAGAGAGGAAGACCCTCAATGAAAATTGACACAGTCTCTGCAGCAATGGGCTTAAATGTATTGAGGATTATAAGGATGACACAGATTTCAGATCTATTATTCACTGGGTCACTTCGAGTTGTACTTGACTCTACAGCACTTAACAACAACCCACCAGCTGCTTTGTAGGAGAAAGATAGGCATAATCCTCCCAACTAACTTAAAGCCTCTGAAAACATGCTGGAAGGCCAACTATGAGCTGGTTCTGACTCATAGACAATGACTCAAGACAATGAACCATACCAGCAACATGTGTCTTAACTATTTTATTTTACTTGAATCCACAATCAACACTCATGGTAGGAGCAGTCAAAATAGCAAACTATATGTTGCATTGAGACAATCCACTCTCAAAGACTTCTCCAAATGCTAAAGAGCAACATCACCGAAGCCATGGTATTTTTCAATTGCTTCCTATGCATCTGAAAGTTACAATGAACAAGGATGACAGAAGAAGAATCAATGCCTTTGAATTATGGTGTTGGAGAGGAGTATTGAATATTCCATGGGCTGACAAAAGAACAAGTCTGTCTTGGAAAGGGTGCAAACCAGGTACTCCTTAGAGCAAAGATAGCAAAACTTCATCTCATATGTATTGGGGTGTGTTGTCAGGAGGGGCCATTCCTTGGAAGACAACATCATGCTGAGAAAGGTAGATTATCATTGAAAGGTAGAGTGACACTAGACAAGATGGATTGACACAGTGAACAGGCTAAAGAGTGATGGAGACTGTGAGGACGACAAAGGCTAAGACAAGGTTTGAACTGTTGTTCACTGGTTGCTGTGAGTTGCAGTCAGCTTGATGGTACATAATAATAGGATGTGTCTGAAGGGCATTCTGGAAGCCAAGTTGGTAAGAAGTTGTGCTGCTATTTCAAAAGTAGTGCCCCCTAATTTGAAAACATACTGGACAGTCAGCTATGAGTATGTTCTGACTTGACAGCAGTGGGTGGTGCATCTGGCAATTTTAGGTGTTGGGAGTGCAGCAATGAACAAAATAAAGTTCCCAAACTTCATGGAATTTTATCTATATATTATAGTTGTTTTTGCTATGTACCACTGTGTTGGAACTGACCCATAGCTGACCCTCTGGTGGGTTTTCAGAGGCAGTAAATCACATGGGAGGAGACCGCCCATCCTTCTGTAGAGCAGCTGGTGGACTCCAACTGTGTGCCTTCGGCCTTGCAGTGAGCTTCTTGCCACTAGCTCAACAGAGCTTCCTATACAGGTTGTTATGTGCTGTCATGTCCCTAAGTACAATAGCTCTGAAGCCTCCCCTGTCCTGAGCCAGCCTCACTGACTCTGCTACTCCTACCCATATTGCCCTAGTTACTGTATCAATACATCTCATCGGGGTCTTCCTCTCCTGCACTGTCCCTCCACACTTCTGAGCATGCTGTCCTCCAGGGATCTGTCCCGCCTGGCCACACCTTTGGGTTTAAAGTGCAGCTTCTCGCCACTTGGGCACCAGAGCTCCCTATACTATAGTAGATAACAAAATTCCTCACAAATGGACTAATAAAAAACATCATGGTAAACAGAAATTTTGACATTGTCAGGAATTTCATTTTACTTAGATCCACAATCAATGTTCACAGAAGCAACAGTCAAACTACATATTGTAGTTGTTGATTGCCTTCAAGTCGAACACAACTCATAGCAATCCTATGAACAAAATGCCTAAAGAAAAAAAGAAAAAGACCTAAAGCCCCTCTACAACTACATATTGCAGTGGGAAAATCTACTGCAAAGAGCCTACCTCTTTAAAGTGCTAAAGAGCAAAGATGTCATTTTGAGCACTAAGGTGCACCTGACCCAAGTCATGGTATTTCCAGTTGTTTGTAAATATTGGAAAACAATGAAAAAAAGAAAAAGAAAAAAATAAGAGAATTAGTGAGAAAGACTTGAGAAGAATCGATGCCTTTGAATTGGTATTGATAAAGAACATTGAATAAGCCATGGACTGTGAAAAGAGCAAACAACTCTGTCTTGGACAAAGTGCAGCCAGAATACTCCTTAAAAACAAGACATTGAAAGGGAGCTCTGGTGGCCTAGTGGCAAGAATCTGTGCTGCAATCCCAAAGGTATGCTGTTTGAATCCACCAGATGCTCCGCTGGAGAAGGAGGGGCAATCTCCTCCCATGCTAGTCGGATCTGATTGTATGGTACACAACAAAAAAGAAAACAAACAAAAGACATTGAGTCTTACATATTTTGGGCCATAACAACAACATCAGGAAAGACTAGTCCTGGGGGTGGGGGTGGGGATAATCCAAAACAAACAAACCAGTGCTTAACAGAGAGTCAGTGAGAAAGAGGAAGGGCCATCAACAAAATAGTCCAGCACAGCAACTGCAGCAGTGAGCCCACAGAGCAGAGACTGTGAGCATGGTGCAGAACTGGACTGTGTTTCTTTCTGCTGGACGTGGGTCCCTTTGAGGCAGAACTGATTCTACGGCATCTAACAATAATGGCATGGTAGATAAGGGGACCCTGGAAGTGCCATAGATCAAGCATTGGGAAGCTAACCAAAGACTTGGCAGATCAAACCCATTGTTCCACAGTCAAAAGATAAGGCAGTCTGTTACTGTGCAGATTCACAGCCTTGGAAGCCCTACGGCACTGTTCTGCTCTGTCCTGTAGGTTCCCTCTGAGTCAGAAACGGCTTTGGGGTAATTCTGGGTTTTTAAATGGCAGATTAGGGATTCTTAGGTGGTGAAAAGATCAGCATGCCCAGCAGCTAACTGAAAGCTTGAGTCTATACAAAGGTAGGTGCTTTGGAAGCAAAGCCTGGCTATCTTCAGAAAAATCAGCCTCTGCAAACACAGTGGAGCATAGTTCTATTCTAGCATGTATGAGGGATCAGGAGTCAGAGTTGTTTTAGGATTTACTTGGTTTTTTTGTTTACTGTTTGTGACAAGAAGTTGATAAGGGCTTTGGAGAAATTGAAATAATTCTTCTGCTTGAGGAATCCAAGTAGACCTGTGTAATTTGTATTTAACCTCTGTCAATTCTAGTTTCCCATATATAAAACCCTAAAATGAAGGTTTGTTGGGTGTTTTTTTTTTGTTGGGTTTTTGGAGGGCTGGTGAAAGGGAGATAGATGTGAAGGGAGGGGGTAGAAGTGGATGGGTATCCTGCGGGATGGTGAAGCAGGAAATAAGTGCGTAAAGATGCATGTGAGAAAGGCAGGGACAACACTGACACTAAAGTTAACTCCGCAATAAGGGATATACCTTTAACTT